TGTTACAACTAATCATTGATCCCTTTAATAGGAAACATAAATGCACAAAACAACACAACATATACAATGTGTTAGATTAAGTCAAGATGTTTTGAGTCTGGACACATTGGCTGTGTCCAAAATGACGGGCCCGGTCCTCCGGAGGACCCAGCCTACCCGGTCGAGGTGGGCCAGGTCCTTGGTAGACCGAGAAGAAGTGTCTGTGAATTTGGACGGTCTAGCCTCCCGTTCTTACCCCGGCGTACGTGCTGTCGCCTAACAACCATGATGACGCTAAACAGAAGCAAAATTAGATTAAAATTAGAAAAATTTAAATATATTAGTGTTATTAATATCGCAAAACAATAAAATTAACTTAAAGGTAACATTTGAAGAACTAATTGACCGCTGTAGGTGCAGGTTTTTTTCTGCATTTTTTTTGACAAAAATAATATTTAAAAACACGTTTATACAAATGATAAAAGTATTAGAATTACAACCGCTAGAAAATGTTAATTTTTTTATCACCATATTTTTTATTTAAAACGTATTCTTTCCTCTTGCTTCGTCCGCCATTACTAGCCTAAAAAAAATCTCCGGTCGGGCCACCATGCATTATGGGATATGCTGGGTCGGGAAGGATCCATCGAACCTGTCCTTCGATTCAGGCCAAAGGAAGGACGTATTTGTCGGCCGCATCGGAGGAGTCTTCGGTTTTGGACAGGCTYCRTYGCGGYGCTGTGACGTATGCGGCCGACGAATTCGGCCTCCGGAGGACACGGCCCACCATTTTGGACAAAGCCAATTAGACACAACTAACTGAGCTACAACCATAGAGGTGGAACATAGTGTAGCAATGACTTCAACCTATAACTTTTATCGTAACATACATGTAACAGAACATTGTAAAACTCCTACGTTTTTCTGCAAAGCTGCCTTACGTAAACAATCAAAGATAATGCATTTTAGCTGTGTGTAAATAATCTTTTTATTCCCTCAGATAATAGCCCTGTCTTGTTTTTTGTTTTGGTGAATAAAGCCTAAACATGAAGCACAAGTGCTCAGACCTGTTGAGGTGTTGTGCGTGTCCTTCGGGTGTCATGTGTGATAAGTCTCTGTGACAGAGCTGACAGAAGAAAAGGCCTCCATCCTCCGAATCTGCTGTCTGAGCTTCTGCTGCTTCTCTGTCCAGCTGCTGCTGCAGTTGAAGAGCCAGAGCTTCATCGTTTTCTGTACAAAAACCAGAGAGATGTTGRCAAACCTGTGATACTTTGTACAGTACAGTACTACAGTGTGTGAAGTATTGTCGTCATTTTGTTTCTTGAATTTTTGCTCCCAAAGAGCCAGACTTTCCTGTAATCCTTGAAAAGTGGTCTTGAATAGTACATGTCCAGAACTTCTGAAGGTCTTTAYAAGTTTTTCTTTGGACTTTTATTACTTTACTAACTTTTACTCCAGTACATGACAGTGTAACTTTTTTTTCTGTTCACCTAACTCTGACCAATGAATCACTTGAGTATAATAAAGCTTAAGTCAAGAGATRAACCAGTGTTGTGTTTACAAACAAGAGTAAACAGCAAACTAGAATAGTTCCTGAAGAAACTATGAAAGGTCTTGCTAAGTGCTGTCCAATTTAAAAAACGATTTAAATTTGTTGGACATCACTGTGACCTACTAATATCCCAMATTTGAGCCAAATATGTCTAAATGCAAAAATTTTGCATTTTAGCTATAGCAGCCATCTTGGATTTTTGATTTGGCTTCAGTATGTGATGACGATCGTTCTTAGCTACTGCCACCCCAAATTTTAGCCCAAAATGTTTTAAATGGACGAGTTATTGCAGTTTCAAATTATCTCTGGTGGCCATTTTGATTTATTTACAATCTTTTTAGCATTATGAATTTGTCAAAGCTCATTCTTGGCTACTACTATACAGAGATGTGTGCAAGTCTTTTTTTTTGCAAGTCCAAGTAGATCCAATCTGACGTCTTCTGTTTCAAATATCTATCTTCATGCCATTATACTCTCAA